GATGGGGAGGTTGTGGCCCCGCCCCCTGTCACACACAGAGCCGCAGGGCGATCATGGGGTTTGGGCGCTGCCCCCTGTCATGCTGATCTGGTGCCAAGAGGCCTCGCGGCTCTGCTGATCCCGGTGCTGGGAGGCATATTACCCTTTTACTATATAGGATAGAGGCCTGGTGCATGGGTGGGGGCCAGCTGGTTTGCCCTGAAGGGTGTCCAGGATTAGGGTGGGGGTCCCGCTTGAGTGCCTGTTCCAGCCTGGGTGAGGGGCTGATGGCTGTTTGCAGTTGGCCACACCCTCTTCAGGGTGGGGGTCCCCACTGGGGTGCCTGGCCAGTCTGGGTGAGGGGCTGAGGGCTGCTTTCAGGTTGGCGGTTGTTGACTGAAGCTCCCAACCGCTCCTTTTTTTTCTCTTTTTTTTTTATTTTATTCTGGGCCAGCTTTAGCTCTGGCTCTAGCTCTGAGGCTTCGTATCTGGTTTGTTTGCCGTTCTATAATCGAAACAATGTATAACTTCAGCTCTGAGATCCCGGCAGGCTGAAAGCTGGTTTCTGGGGTTTTGTTTAGCTCCTACATTTGCAACATAGTACATAGTTGCTTAGAGTTGCAACTCAGAGGCCGGCAAGTCAGGTGGGGAACGTTGTAGTCTGCAGTCACTGGAGCAAGCAAGCCTCATGTTCGCTTCCAGCTGCCTGGCTGCTGGCCGCCATCTTGGCTGACAGTTAATTTGCATAAGGATATGCTGATTAGCCAATGGGAAGGGTAGCGGTCGTACGCTAATTACCATGTTTCTCTTTTATTAGTGTAGATACTATATTTTGAAATTTATTCATTAATTTATATGTAAATTAAGACACACATTGGTTTATTTATTTGTATCAGTAATTAAACAATGTCCATATGTTGTGATTGGTTGAGATGCCTTTCCAAGTGGATAGGGTTTTTTAATTTTGTTAATAATTCCTGATTTGATTGATTGTTGACTCCTACCTTAATTTCATTGCAGTTTTTCTTTGAAATGTACCTAGGCTTTCTTTATGGTATGATATATAGTCATTTAAAAATATTTTATGATTGCTTTAAAAGAATATGTAATTCTCTTATTACTTGTTGTGGGATTCTGTCTTTCTCTTTCTCTTTTCTCATCCATTTTTTTTTTTTTCCTTGAAGAGACCCGTTGTTTGTCCTGTGGAGTTTTTCATTGCCAGGAGTATCTCTTTGGTGTGGTTAACATATTCTTCTGCCTTCTCAAATCTCTGTATTTCCATAAATTGATAGTTGGATTTAGACAATTGATTAGATTCAGAATTCATTTCCTTTTTCCAAGGCTGTTCATTGATCATGAGTCTCATAATAGTTGTTTTCTTTTTTGTGATGTTAGCAGCCATTGATGTTCAGTGCCTAAATCCTTTAATTTATTAAAGATTTAAAATGATGATGTTCTAGTTCTATTTTTCTTTCTTCATTTACTAGCTAGAATACTTCTATAATGAGAAACTTACTCTCATTATTTACCCAATGGTATTGTTGGTATATAAAAAGTTAGATAATTTTTTTCCCTTTATATCCTGATTTTATAAGTATGAGCTCATTGAATTAAACATACTGATATTTTAAAACACCACATTTATTATTCTTATTGATATGCAAATTATTACATCTTTGGCCAGTGGAAACCTTTTCAGGACCTTTTGGCACAACCATAGTAGTTTTTGATAACCTCGATATCTGGATGAGACATCCCAAGCTCATCATGTGTATTTCCAGATCTGGCATTTTTCCAAGGAGCCTTGATTCCTTAAAGTGGGAAATGGTATTTGGAGGCAACATTTGGATGCTAGGAGTGTGTATGTTTACAGAATTGGTCATCATTTCTAAACCTGTCAGTGGACAGAATTAGAAAATTTGTGTATGTAAGTGTATGTTTTATTTAAGATCAAATATGTCATGAGTTTAAACTGATGCTTCCAATTCAAATTGAAGACCATAAGGTCTTTCCCTTTCACATCTTCCTTCCTAAGAATTCCATTTTGTCAAGGACATCAGGGATCTGTGGTCCCTGTCCTTCTTTTTTAGACTAGTTGGTGTCTCTGTGTTCTCTGCCCTCTGAGGAGTTACAGAAAAGTTATAATTTTATAGATTATCTGGCCTTTGTTCTTTAGGATGAGAATAGTGTTCCTTCCAGCTTGACACGTTGTTTTTATTTTCTTCTTATCAAGTCTTTTTTGTGTGTGTAAATTAAGATTTATGTCTTAATGTCTTATTTTTGCTTCAATACTACCATTTGAATACCTTTCTCCCACGTATTTTTTTATATCCATGTGTATCTGCATTGAAAGTTTATTTAGCTCTACAATGGTCTCTTAGATGATTCTATAATTTGTATTTGAAATCTTTTAAAGTTTAGCATTAAAAAATTATCATTTTAACACAATTTTCAAGTTCATGAATTATCTGATTGCTCTACATTTTAGTTCTGATTTTCAAACTAAATATTAGTATATCCCAAGTTTTACTCTACCATTACAGGGACATATTTTGTGAATATATAATCAAAGGAATGTTAGAGAAACTTTATATAATTTTTTATATTCATCAAGTTTGATTTTTCTTATTAGCTTTTCACAAATTATAATAAAATGATAGACTTGTTAATTCTTTATTACAGAGTATATTCCAAGAGTACAATAAAGTGTACTTTTTTGATTGCGAGATTTATTATTCATTTGTTTATCATTTTAGTGTACTTAGCTAATTTTAAGGCCATATGAAAATTCTTTGCTGAAAATATTATTGTATTAAAGGAGCTGATTTTTATTACCCAAATATTATTAATATTGATAAAATTTGAAAATATTTAAACCAAGCTGCTCTAGTGTCCCTTGTTTTCTTAAAATGTGATACTATAAACAGTTAATTATCACATATTTCTTAGTAATGTCCACAATTTATTGAATTGATTTTAAATGTTGTATTAAATAATTGATATATCATGTTGGAAACAGTATTGCATAGTTTACCCTAATTTTACCTCCTCATTACTTTCATGGCCATAAAAAGTGACTTACTAAATGTTTCTTTTCTTTTTACCTTTATAGGTTATTTTAGTGTCTGCCAATAAATTGACTCGTTATATAGAACCATGTCAGTTAACAGAAGATTTTGGTGGAAGTCTCTCTTATGATCACATGGACTGGTTAAATAAGAGGCTGGTTGGTATATTACAATGAGATAAAATGTTATTACATGTAAATAAGATAGATTTTGATAACTTCATTGTTTTAATCAACTAAAGTATAATTAACTAAAATGTAGGTTGTTTTCGTGTTTATAAAAGTGAAGAAATATAATGTATATCACATGTTAGAATAATATTTGAAGGCAAATACTTTGAAATCAGATTCACAAATGTTAGCTATTACTGTTGTCATTAGTAGCAGTATTACTAGTTAAAGTTGTAAATCTTCCAGGTAGAACAGAGTAGCATAATTTCTTGGGAGGTAATCTAGTTATATACTATTCTCAGAGAAAATATTTAAACATCAATTTGAATTGGAGAGAAGTTTGGCAGGTTGTGGTTTATGATTCTGAAAATGTATCTTCTTTGTCACACTTGTGAAATCTGGTACTCTGTATAATACAGCATTATTTAACCAAACTTTTGGGGACTAAAATAATAAATATATTAACTCCGTTTAGATTATATGCTAATTTTATTGAAGAACAATGAACTTTTGGATATTCAGAATGGAAAACCAATTCTATTTCCATCATATTTAAACAATGTTTTCAGACAAATGAATGTCCACTTTATTTTAACCAGATTTGCCCAAATCCCTTTTTAGAAATACTTTAAGAACTCGTGTTAAAATTGTAACTAATTTATTTTTATGGTGTATGCTTGTGTGTAAAATTCTTTAACCATTAACATGCAACCAGTATGTATTGATAAATAGAATAGCATAAAGAAATGTTCCATAACTGGAAGTAGAGAATTAAAACTTCTCTAAATAATGTTCATGCAGTTAAAACTATTATGGATGCAGATGATTCTCAAGGAAACGTAGGAATAAAAATAAACTTGCTGATTGAGGAATAAAAATAATTTCTTAATGTATTTAAATTTTAAGAATTTCTCATCCATTGAAACTATTCATTATTTTAAGGAATGGTTAAGTCTTCTCTCCTGTACACTGTTGTGCTCTGATGGTTGAATTGTACTAAGTGACATCCAGAGGGGGAAGGGGAAACCTTACTGGCTGATTCTATTGCTCTTAACTGAAAATCCTTTAGTACATTTTAACTTTTAAGATTATTCTTAATATGTTAATAAAATTTCATATTGTAGGTTTTTGAGAAGTTTACAAAGGAATCTACATCATTATTAGATGAACTTGCTTTGATTAACAATGGAAGTGATAAAGGAAATCAAGAGAAAGAAAGGTAGGTGGCCAGAGTCATGCAATTATACCCTTGCAAAGCTATGATTAACCTGATAATAGGAACCTCTGTTGTTAATGCAAGCTAAAAGAACTAAGGTAAGCAAATCTCCATTCAATAAAAATTGCATACAAAAGTTGAATTAAATTTATTTTTTAATTTTTGAGACTTTGCTTTACATGTAAAGTTTACTGATTTGAATAAAAGTTTCTTTACAAAAGACTTTATTTGATGAATAGTAATAGCTTTACTTTTTTTCTGACACTGTAAAATATTCATTGGCAAGGAATATTTGAAATGAAACAATTTTTTACCTTTTTAGAATTCTACTTTGCTTATAAAGAATATGGAAAAGGTGGCAGCTTGAAATAAATGTAATGTGACCTTATTTAAATACATTAGCACTTACATGCCTGGCTTACAGAACTGTAACCTTATAAAGTATGTGATATTCATGAGTTCAACTTGGAGAATTTAGTGTTTTATGACACTAGATAAAGTAATTGTTCAGTTGTATTATCTAAATGTAACTACTTAGATAAATCATTTTAATGGGTTTCCATTGAACTTTGTAACCTTCGCAGTTTTCATTTTTCTGTTGGTAGACCAAGTCACTCGCCCAAGGTAAAAAGCATTTCAGGATGCAAATTAACTCTTTCTGGTCTCAATAACAAAGTGGTCACTAGAACAGTAATTTTTCATTGGGAAATTTGAAAGAATCAGTACTCTTGTCTGTCTCTTTCGAATCTGGCCTTACAAATACAATAGAACCTATAAAAAAATTCATCTTGATATTCTGTGAATCCAAATATAGTCATATACCAATTAACTGAGATGATAAGAGGGATATGAGAGGGTTCTTGTATAACACCAATTCTTGATTAAAACAAAGTAAAAGTGTGAAAACAAATGATTTGAATGTAAATGTCATAGAAGTTAAACATTTAGGAACATTACTATCCTATTGGTGCATTATAGAAATGTAAAATGTAAAAATATGTAAATATGTGTGTGTGTGTGTGTATACATGCTATGGCTCAGGAATTGAAAATCTCACACAAGTAACTTGATAAAAATTAGTTAAACTTCTATTTTTCTATAGTCTAGCAGAGTAAGTTTGATGTTTCTTAAAGTACTGTGTCTTAGGAAAGGCATGCTAAAAGGGTGTCTATAGAAAATGAGTTTATGGTCAGAGGGTTTAATGCTGAGAAAGCATTGGAGTAAAAACAAAAACAAAGTGTTTGTCCCTAGAACTTCTTGTGTTTATGGTCCAGTGTCACACCTTTTTTTCCATCTAATAATATCTTATTCAGTGTTTTGGAAATTATTTTGGGAAATATTGGTTCGCATGAATATATGAAGTATTATATAAAACTAGAGGCCCGGTGCATGACATTCGTGCACTGGGGCGGTGGGGGATCCTTCAGCCCGGCCTTTTCCCTTTCACGGTCCGTGAACCCTCAGGGGATGTCCGCCTGCTAGCTTAGGCAGACATCCCCCGAGGGGTCCTTAGCACTGCAGTGGAGGCAGGAGAGGCTCCCTCCACTGCCACTGTGCTCGCCAGCCGTGAGCCCAGCTTCTGGCTGAGCAGTGCTCCCCCTGTGGTGGCGCACTAACCACAAGGGGATAGCTCCTGCGTTGAGCATCTGCCCCCTGGTGGTCAGTGCATGTCATAGCGACCGGTCATTCCGCCATTTGGTCGATTTGCATATTAGGGTTTTATTATATAGGATGTTATGTGTGTCAGTCTCTCCTAAAGGAACTCAAAGTGTATTGCTTAGTCTCTAAAATCCCAGATAGTAAAGTCCTCCCCATGCAAATTTTTGTTACCTTTATGTCAGCCCTCAGGAAGTATTGAGGCTAAATAAGGGCCAAATGCCTAGATCAACTGTCAAAAGTGAGAGATTTAGAGCAAGACTTCCCGGTTACAGCAGCAGGGTCCTAGGCTTTGATTTGCCATGTACATGATCTTTCACTTATCTTCTACTTCCCAAATGTGTTTAATAAAGTTCACAGTCCAGCTCACATGAAGCATAATTAGTACAGGGATAGAGTACAATGGCAAGGGACACACACACACACAAATATGAGAATATTTGCAGTTCTCAAAGGTTGCTGTGGGTAAGTAAACTTTTGATTGTTGGCAGATGATTACATGTGTTTCTTAATGTTAACATTTCTGGGTTATTACATAGTTAGCAATTTCATTTTGAAACAAATATCCAGTGAAAACTACTAAAATGGATTATTTGATATATTTGAAATAATATCATAATTCATATAATAACAGGCTAATATGCAAATCAACTGAATGGCAGAATGACCGGTCGCTATGACATGCACTAACCATCAGGGGGCAGACGCTCAATGCAGGAGCTGCACCCTGGTGCAGTGCGCTCCCACAGGGGGAGCGCTGCTCCGCCAGAAGCTGGGCTCATGACTGGCGAGCGTAGCGACAGTGGCGGGAGCCTCTCCTGCCTAAGCTGCAGTGCTAAGGATGTCTGACTGACGGCTTAGGCCTGCTCCCCCAAGCCAGTAGTTGGACATCCCCCAAGGGCTCCTGGACTGTGAGAGGGCACGAATTTTGTGCACCGGGCCTCTAGTTAATAATAATAAACTCTTTTTCTCAGTAATATATTTTGTGATTTATCACATATTTTTGTGGATATGAGTATTTAGTTAACTCTAATAGTGTTCCTAATGCTTTAGAGAAATTATGGTAGAACAGTATTCCTCAGGTTTTCATTCTTTGGTTGTACCTGTTTTAATATGTATACATAAAAGATTTTCTTAAATTATATGGGTAGAAATACAGCTTTTAAAAATTACTCTCTTGGTGTTTGCCAGGTCTGTGGATTTAAACTTCCTTCCATCAGTTGATCCTGAAACAGTTCTTCAGACAGGTAAGATGAAAAAACATATTGATCAATAATCATCATAATCCAATAAACTAATCCTAAATTGATTGAGTCATGAAATAGACATCAGTTGAGCATGTACAGCTGGTCCTTGAATAACATAATTTTGTTCAAAGTCATTTTGTTATAATGTTATGAGGTGCTGTAGGAACTTAACTCTTACTTAAGTCAATTAGCCTATGGTAAAATTGGTTCTGTTATCTAGTGTTTTGCTTAAAGTTGGAGAACTATTGACGATTTATTCTATATTTAGTATTGACGATAATACTCTGTATTATGTGGTAGAAACTTACAGGGAAATTTTTCGAACTGATATTTATTTAACTGAGCTGTTAATATACTCTACAATATTGAAAATATTAATAATGATAAATCGTTAACTTATCTCTCCCTTGAAATACTTGGGTTTATTTTCTTATCTGTAAAGTGGAGATAAAAATTTCTTTTATATAAGGTTGCTATGAGGATTATTGAAAACTTATTCTAACATTGTAATTTTTGTGGGGTTTTTTTTGTATTTTCTTATTTCATTTTTCTAACAACCCCTTGAGATAATTAGGATTATTTTCTCTATTTTGTACTTAAGGAAGCCAAGGCTTAGAGATATTAAAAAACTTGCTCAAGATCAGGTAACTATTAAGCTTTATTACCATAGCAGTAAAAATAGGACTAACTCCAAAGCCACTGGCTGTACTGCTTTACAGTCATCTACGTAAAAGCACTTAGCACCTGCAATTGTCTTGAACATAGTGTGTGTTCATTGCTTCATGGTATGTACTATATATATAAATTCATAAAAGCCGTTACGATCAGAATACATTTATCTTTTTACTTTGACAATTCCCTTAATGTTTTCCTTGTGGATACCATTTCTGTTAGAGAAGCAGCACCACATAATGATTTGAAAGGCAATACTTTGAAACCAAACTGCTCAAGTCCCAACTCTAATATTACTAGTTGTATAACCTACATAATAAGTTACTTAACTTTTTCCCATCTTAACTCAGTTTCCCATCTTAAAATTGGGATGATAACAGTACCTACACTTCACTGGGTTGTGGTAAAGGATAAATGAGTTGACATGTAAAGTGAGTGCTATTAGAACAGTGCCTGGTACACAGCAGAATTAGAATTATGAGCTATTATTGGAAACTACATTAGAAGTAAAATTAAGGTATTATTATTTAAAAGAACTTCACTATGTTCTAGAATCTGTGAAACAACTACTAGAGATATTTGGGCTGGAATACAGTATTGCTCTAGATTTGAAACTTAATTCCTTGTTTATGTGCCACTAAGTCCTTTATTATATGCTATTTACTCTTAAAACAGGGAGAGTATGAAATAGAGAAGTTTAGAACAATCTTGGATATTTTTTAAAAATTGGGAATACCTCCAAATCAAATTAGAAGTTTTGTTTCTATATATTAAAAGCCATTTAAATTTAGGACATGTTCCTGAATAATGGTAAAAACAAAAGAATTTAAATATCTGCATTTTTTGACCACTAAATAATAATTGGAATAGTAGTATCCCAGAAAAACAATTTGTTAATTTATTTACTTTTAAAATTGTTAGGATACTTAACAACTTTAGACGTTGCACATTCTGCATTTCTAATTTCTCAGGAATGAGCAGATTTTCTTTATTAGATTGCAGTAATTGAATAACATTGGATATTCTTTGGCCTCTCATGATTCCCACTAAAATATATATTGTGGGGAGTCCTATACATAAAGGTTGTTTATATATTATTTTGTACCAATAATAAAGACTTGCTACCTTTAGTGCAATCGTACATTTGTTACACCGTCAACTTTTCTTTTAGGAGCTATAATTAAGGGTATGAATTAATACTGAAATCATACAACATATTGCTTAGTATTGATTAGTACCATCAGACAGAAATTCCAGAGTGTAATTGTACTCACAGGAAAAGAGAATTGGTTGGTACAGTATTCTGAGCAATGAGTCCACCAATAAGAAGAATATGATAGATATAGATAAAATATATAAATATACCATAAATTTACTATACAGTATTGCGTATTTAGAATATATATTCATGATATATGAAATAGCATATAAATAATACTATGTTGTATATATGCACATATATGCAGTTTTCTATTTCTATATAAATTTTAAAATTACATGTGAGTACTTAAGACCAGGTATGTAGGTAGACATAAGGTAGATAGGCTCTAAAAATAAGGGGCTAGAATTGAGAAGAATTGTATTTCTTTATGAATATTAATTATAAGTATCTTTTATCCATAAAGGGCATGAATTGTTATCCGAATTACAGCAGCGTCGATTCAATGGCTCAGATGGAGGAGTGTCATGGTCTCCTATGGATGATGAACTGCTTGCACAGCCACAGGTTATGAAATTATTAGATTCACTGAGAGAGCAATATACTCGTTACCAGGAAGTTTGTAGACAACGTAGTAAGCGTACACAACTAGAAGAGATTCAACAGAAGGTGATGCAGGTAGGTGTCTGATTTGAATATATTTAACTCTTTATTTATCAATGTTGTGTTTTAAAAAATAATTTCTACTCTGTGACTGATTTTATGCCAGGCCTTATTTATACTGTATGGAGAACCTTAGACACCAAATCAAACTTCACTTTTAAATTATGTACATTTTTACAAATAATATTTGTATTAAGAATATATTTTTTTCTACAATGATGACTGAGCATTCAGCTCACGCTATCAGAATGAACTTCAAAAATAACTGGATGGAAACATCTGTGGTCTCTGCATTCTTATAATAAATAACATTTTGTTAGTGAGATCTGATTTCTTTTTAATAATTTGTTAGTGTTTTGTTAATTTGAGCATTTAGTTTTTCTATCCAAGAGAAGAGATAAAATGTAATATAAGTAATTATATTTTATTATTGTATGAAACTGAGAAATTTTTAAGTGTATTTAATATTTATAACTTTTTAGTTCCTTTAATATTTAAAAAATCAATGCTAAGGAAGACATTTCTGTTATTTAAACTACATTCTGAATTTTCATGTTGAATTATTAAGAGATAAATCTTAAAATATTTTACTTAAAAATTCAGATTAGAAATGTTTTTTATTAGATTTATTAGGTAATTATGAAGTGCTTATTATATAGGATATAAAGGTACACTTGCCTTTTGCTATCATTAAACTTAAGGGGAGAGAATGTTAAGTGTCACAAGGGCATGACTGAAGTGCTATGGGTATTTATAGGAGGGATTATTCCTCTGGTTGCAGGTATTCTAGGAAAATTTAGTGGAGTAGGTGGAATTTGAACTTGTCCTCCAAGAATGTGTGGGACATCTTTTAAACCAGGAATCTCCTTTTGTTTTAAAAGAATTTGAAATTTTGTGAAGGATAAAGAACAGCATGAATAAATAATAGCAGCATGAAAGTCCAAGCTCCATTGAAGAAAAAGGAAGCAGGAAAGCACTGTGGGAAGTTTTTTGGCTTTTGAGTCATAGAGCAAAATAGTTCAGAGAGCATGTTCTGAATCCCAGTTCTTCCATTTATTTGGTATGTGATCATGGCTACATTATTTAGCCACCTGAAACTTTATCTAACTTTCTTTTTTCTCTTTCTCTATTTTTCTCCCATGGTTTTTTCATTACTGAAACAGGAATAAATAGTCCACTTTTGAAAAGCTGTCAGTACTCGATTAGTGGCAGCTTTTATATTTGTTTCCATTGAATTAGACTCTGGTCTAGAAGTATACTTTAGTTCTTGGCATACTTTTTCTGTAAAAGGCCAAGTAGTGAATATTTAGGCTTTGTGGGTCAATTTTTCTTGCAGTTATGGCTATTTAAACTGCCCTTATAATCCATACACATTATGTAAATGAATGTATATGTCTGTGCTCCAGTAAAGTTTTATTTACAAAAACAGTGGTAGGCCACAATTGGCCTGTAGTTGTTGACCTCTGACCAGATCATCAGGATGTCATGGGTACAAAAGCTTGAAATGAAGGAAGGAGCTGAATCATGGAAGATCTTGAATTCCAGGCAAAAGGATTTAGATTTTATCTCATGATAACCAAACCAAAGATTGCTGGACATAAATTCATTATATGTAACTTTTTCTATGTAGTATATTTTTAAGTTAAAGATAGCTTGTATTAAATCCAGTTAAGGTTAGCCATGTAGCTTGAGAGTCCCCTATGTCTGCAAGGTACATATCAAGACCCCCCAGTGGATGCCTGAAATCACGAAGAATACCTAAGTCTGTATATACTATGTTTTTTCTCTATATGTACATACATTTTCACTTAAAGCAAACACTTCATGGCTTTTTTTTCGCCGATCCAAATAGCCAGCATCACTACTCTTGCACTTTGTGGCCACTGTTAAGTAAAATAAGGCTTATTTGGACACAGCACTGTGATACCGTGATAGTCAGCCTGATAACTGAGAAGAAGGCTAAGTGATTAATGAATTGATAGCATGTCTAGTATGGATATGTTGGATAGAGGAGTGATTCACTTCCTGGCTGGGACAGTGCAAGATTTTATCACACTACTCAGAACAGCATGCATTTTAAACTTATGAATTATTTTGTTTCTGAATTTTTTTTTCATTTAAATGATGGGACTACAGTAAAGGGGTATCTTGGAAAACTGTAATTATGGAATAACAGTGTTATACAAGTCACCCAGGTAATCTGGGTTCACCCTCTTCTACCACTTTCAAGTTGGGAATGAACTGTAACCACTCAATGCTGTAGCTTCCTTCTTAGTAAACTGGGCATAAAAATAACAGTAATAATATGACCCACTTAATACGGTGTCACAAGGATTAAAGAAGATACTTATAATAATAAAATGTGTAGTGTTTGGCACATAATGAGTTTTCTATTAATATCAATTATTTCTCACTCATTCAAATATGAATGTGTATATTAGTGTGACACTGTGGTGCTGGAATACAATGGTGAGTAAAATAGACAAAGTTCCCACCTTTACGGAGCATAATCCTATATAATAAAAGCGTAATATGTAAATCGACCATCCGGTTGTTATGACACGCACTGACCACCAGGAGGCAGACGCTCAACACAGGAGCGCCGCTCAGCCAGAAGCCGGGCTCACTGCTGGTGAGCGCAGTGGCGGTGGGGGGAGCCTCTCCCGCCTCCACTGCAGGTGGGCAGTAAGAGGTAAGGAGCCAGGGTTCCTGGACTGTGAGAGCCCCAGACTGAGAGAGGGATCAGGCCTAAGCCAGCAGGCGGACATCCCCTGAGGGGTCCCGGACTGCAAGAGGGCACAGGCCTGGCTGAAGGACCCCCTCCACCCCAGTGCACGAATCTCGTGCACCAGGCCTCTAGTTAGATAATAACACAAATAGTTGTAAAATTGTAACCATGAAAGAGAGTGGTGGGAGTAAGGGTGAGAAAGAACACTTCAGAGATGAATCATTTTTATGGCTTGCAAGACTTAATGGATGGTAGTGGTGTCCAATTATGTTTGGATTTAAGTGTGGGTGGAAAAGGCCGTAGAGAATCATGATATTGGGTTTAGATATGTCGAATTTGAGGTGACTTTGAGACATCTAAGAAAAATGTGGAAGGGTATTCCTAAACAGGTCCAGAAATCAGAGAAGTCTGGGCTGGTGACATATTTGTTTGTTATTCGTATATGAATGATAATCAAAGGCATTGATATGGATGAGAATTGCCCAAGTAAAGAGCTGAGAGAATGTGAGATGTGGACTTGTTAACTAAGCTAAGAGAAACTCCAGCATGCAGTGAGAAGGCAGTGAATGATTGGCCAGAGATGAAGAATAAAAGTGTGAAGAAAGCACTTCAGGAAAGGATTTGGGAACCCTGTCAAATGCTGCTGAAAGACTGTAAAAGAGTAAGACTTAACATGTTGGTTAGAATGTACAAGATTGAGATAATTGGTGAACCTAGGGCATGAATGGCACGACCAGAAGCACATTGACATGAATTCAGGAATGAGCAAGGACACTGAGGGACACTGAGTACAGATGACTGAGAATTTTGTCTTTGAAGGAAAGATGAGCAATAGACCAGTCCCTGAAAGTGGTAGAATAGGGGTTATATTAGTTTACGAGGGCTGCTGCAATGAAGTGCTGCATACTGGGCGCTTACACAACAGATATATTTTCTCACAGTTCTGGAGGCTAAAAGTCCAAGATCCAGGTGTTAGCAAGGTTGATTCCTTCTGAGGACAGTGAGGGAAGGATCTGTTCTAGGTCTCTCATTGTCTTGTCGATGATGACCATCTTCTCCCTGTATCTTCATATCATTTTCCTCTTTATCTGTGTCCACATTTCCTCTCCTTTTAAGGACACCTGTCATTAGATTAGGACCCATCCTAATAACCTCATTTTAATTTAATTGTTTCTTTGAAGGCCCTATCTTTAAATAAATATGGTTACATTCTGAAGTACTGAGGGTTAGAACATACAGATTTGGGGTAGGGGGGACCACAATTCAGCTTAATAGGGGTCAAGTGTAGTGTTGTTTTTTTTTAATTGATACTATAGAAAACTGTAAGAGGTTTAAAGCCCAGTGGGATTTATCAATTTGGAGAGAGAAATTGAATATACAAAAGAGAAAAAAGAGGTAATACTATCAAGTTCCTGACAAGGTGGAAGTGAATGAACTCGAAAACAGTTGAAGAGATTAGCTTTAGAATGAAGAGGGAGAACTCCCCCACTGTAACAGGAGGGAGGATGAGTGGGATGAATCTGGAGATGCTTTCATGTATAAGAGGCATCAGGAAGATGGAATTCCTGTGTGATGTGTTCTCTTTTTTTGTAAAATAAGAGACAAAGATCATCTGCTTAGTGGTGTAGGTTGGAGGCAGGGTAGTGGGGGTGTTGAAGAGGAAGAGGTTTAAATGAAGTGAAGATGATTCAGAATTTTTTTTTTGTGGGGATTGGAAGAGTAAAATTACTCCACAAGTGTGGTTCTATTTTCAGATAGTGTTAATATTGAATTTATGGGGGAACCTTTCTGGCCTGTTGTATGACTCTATTTGTGGCTGGCTATTGAGGTAGAGCACAGAGATAGGATTCACCCAGCATTTGTGCTTTGCTACGTGGCAGATGAATGGGTAGGATAAAAAGACAGAGGGGCAAAGGAGTTAATGTATTGCCAAATGCATTTTTGAAATATTGGACCAGCTCAAGTGGATAAAAAAGAAACTAAAGAAGGGTGATGATGATAATATTCATAATGATGGTGATGATGGTAACAAGATTATTGTTAAAAACAAACTTCATTACAATTCAGTTTTATGAACATTACATGTAGATTGGTTAGAACATTAATATTCATCCTCTAATGGTCCTGCAGTTTTTCACAGGTCACATTTTAGGGAAAGATCTATTTCCCTTGTCAAAATGATTACTTAAATTAAACTACATAGTAACATATATTTGTCATGTCAGCACACACAGCATAAACATAATGTCTTCAGTCTTGCAAATTTGAGGAAAATGAAATTTTTTTT